AGGGAAAGACACGATTTGTCGGTATTCTTATTTTCTAAGAGTAAATTGCATTTTCCCTCAAAATTTGACCATATTTTTGTTTCTTTCTCGAATAGTTAGATCTCGTTGTCTCTGAATTACAATTTTAGATATAGTAACTCTTGTGCATAACTCAAGGTAATTGATTTTGATATGGTTTTGACAAAAGGAATGGGTAGAACAATACATCAAAATAAACAGTTTCAAAGATTTTAAAGCCCATAGAAAAATTATTCAATGGATTCATTAATTGATAATTCAAATTAATAAAAGTGCAAATTTGCAATTACGCTTTTGAGATGATGTTGTAGATTTTATGTCCACTAAAAATATGATTATAATAGTACTTACTAGTGAAAATAATCTCACCTTTTAAAATTGAGTTAAACTCCGATTTATTAAGAAACCATGAGACCAACCCTAGTTAGATCCAAACCCTTAGAAATCGAATGTTTCACTAGTCACACAGTCAGATCCAGATTCATCTATATGAATAATAACAATAATCATTAGTTATCATTTGTAAGAAAACGCAGTTTCTTGAAAATCCAAAATAAAATCGTACCGGGTGGGGTCCCTGTTGGCTCTCATGGGATAATTATGATAGTTTCAAATGTGTCTAAAATTTTATTGAGCCCCTCACACTCACTCAAAGTTGTCTAGCATGAAATTAAAATAGTGAAGGGTTTTAAAACCAAAAAAATAAAAAATAAAAAATAAAAATAAAAAAAGATAGTGAAGGGCACAACACAACATATTCACATAATCTGAAAGGGTTCTTACGTGGGTCTGTGACTAATTTGATTGACCTTTGAACTTTGAAGGTTCTTCTTTGGGCAGTGTTGATTGAAACTTTTTCTGAGTGGGGACCAATAGGACCAGGACTACCCATTAACCATTGTCGGTGCAACAAATTTTTGTTATCCCTGATTATTCTTTTTTTTTTTTTTATGAACTTGGCCTCGAAATTACCATTGGATTGCAACTTTGCAACACAGCAGGGTCCCAAGTTTTGCCACAAATGTATTATCACTTGCTTTTTTTCTACGTATCATTACAATTTTCATCAGACAACGTTTCCTGTATGTTTCCACTCCCATCTTTATTGTCTAGGACGTTTTTAAGACTTTGGAATTGTAATGTCAAAATCAATCTTGAGTTACATTTACTTTAACACATGTTATCATATAAAAAATGTGAAACAACTTAATGGATTGGTGCAGTGATGAGATATACGTGTTTATATGATGTGAAAATCATCTATATAAAAGAGATTTTATGTTTGATTCAATTGGAATATTATGAGTGAGATTAATATTATTTGGTGATATTGCAACCAAAAAAAATGTGAAGAGATTTTTCTTTTTCCATTAAAATGTTCTTTTGATGTGTCCTATTTAAACGGAAAACTAAAAACACACAATAATTAGACATCCTGCTACTCTTCCTTTCTTACCCTAATGAGAGCTGGCTCCTTTAACACAAATGCCAATATCATGACACCACTTCGAGGGTAGACATTAATTTGTGGCAAATCAAGAAAACGATGGCCTGAATGTTTAATTCGAGCAACAGCTTTGAAATCACATCTTCAAGAAACGATTCTAGATACCAATTATACTAATAACAATGTTTTCTAGTGGTGACTACTAGGATGCAATGGTGCTGCTTAATTAAAATAAAAATTTATTTACTACCAGCACACCATTGTATCTTTATTGAACATGTAAAACTTAAGTTAGATCATATCATAATCATATTTAATTTTTTTTATCTATATCACATATATTTTCTACATGAGATAATTATGTTGGAGTTGAGTTGAGTAGCATGACGTAAAACTCCAAATTGTGAGTAAGGTATTAGATGTATGTTGTTAGTGCAATGTTATGCAAGTGGTATACGTGGCGAATTTGCAAGGAAAAAGTGCAGCGTTGGAAAGTGAATGGACAAGTTTCCTAACTCAAACCCCATATGAACTGTAACCCAATTTTTGCCAAGAACTACCCACATGCCATATGGACCCTATCTCACATGCAGGAAGAGGTATAGTCTTTATTGCAAATCTAACCATGTGCATTGAGCACTTATCATTCATCAGTGTCTCTGTTTAGCACTGTCCCTTACTCTCTCCGCAGGCATTTACTAGGTTGTGACGGGGCAGAACAAAGACAGGCCTATTTGATCTTAGCTTCTTCTGCTGGGCATTCAGAAATTAAACACCTCTTACATTAATTCTAGTAAAAGTTCATGTTTAAGTCAAAAAGTATTACTGGTTGACCTGTGATACACTCATATCCCTTGTTGTGAAAAAAGTAGTGATCATAATGTCCTGCAGGAATTCTCCATCATCCGGTACAATTAATCACTTTTATCATCAAGTTAACTATCAAACATTTCACAATATTATTAATCACTTGAATGATTATTGATTTAAGTAAATAAATATGAATAATTGAATATATATATATATATATATATATATGATTATTGGTTTGCACTGGTAACAAATAATTATATGTTAATAGTGTTATAAGATCGTTGAGATGTTAAAAATAGTTAACTATGCCAGGTGAACGCTTGGTAAAGAATTCAAGAGGGTGATCGAATTATTTTTCTTTTGTGGAGGGTAGCTCCCAATTAACACTTTCTTGGGGGCCTTTGAATTGTTACACAAGGATGTCTTAAGATACACGCTCGATTGATCTCCTGTGAATTGTACATTCGAAAATTGGGAAACATAACTAGCTGTAGAACGATACTTGAAATCATGGCATGTCATGTCTTGTTCATAATTTTACCCATGATAATGTTAGAGGCAGGGGAATCTCTTAAGTAACCTCTAGTTAGCATTGCATTATTTTGTGGGGGACAATGTAGGTAAAAGGGGTCATCATGTTAATTAGAAAGATAATGACGGAGGATCATGCGCTGCACATGAACGTATCGCACATGTTGGTAGAGAAACCAACATTGGTAGATATGTTTAATGATTTACAACCATAATTGCATAACAAAAGCAAAGATTAAAAGGCTAAAAAGGTGAGAAAGTTAATAAAAAGCAACACCACAGCTACTGCTGTATTTCATAATCGTCATTGATAAAGTGTTTCCATATAACTCAACTTTCACAATCATGCTTTTGCTTGTATAATTAACTCAACAAAACAAATAGTAAAAAATAACAAAGGAGGGGTGAAAAGAAAAATCATATATATATTTATATTATATATATATTTGGGCTCATTCAAATCCTATAAACTGAAAAAGACTGAACAGTATGTAAGGAGACATGATTTGACATTTGGAAAAATATGCATATGAATTGGTGGGTAAGGTTGATTGATGAGATGAGCTGGGAAGGAGCAAAGAAAAGGCAAAAAAAGAAAATGAAAAGGACCAAAGAAACCGCGCTTCTGCACCTGCTCCTACAATTGCATTGCTTGTTTCAGCTGGAGCAAGTCGAGCAGCAAAGGTTGACCAACAACAAGACACACAATGTAACATAAACCATATTGACATGTGTAATTAATGTACACTTGCCAAGAATGCAGAATGGAGAGAAAAATGGGTGTGATGTGAAGAAACCAATGGACATATGATGATGCTCTACTATAATATGGTAAAACTGAGAATCAAACACAAAAGAAAATTAATGGCTCTTTCATTCACATGGTTGGTTGATATATATGCTACTAGCACTGACGGCCTCTGCGGCAACCGAGTGCACCAGCATTGGAAGTCATGGAACCAACCATGGAAGAAGATTTTGCTCCTAAGCTTGAGGCCCTGGCATAGCTGGCTGAGGCTCCAGCTCCTGAAGGGGTGAAATAGGCACCATTCAGCAACAAATCACCCTCTGACCTCCAATTCCAACCCTTCCACTCAGTTGCTGCTGTTTCCACTCTCTTAGTCACCTGTTAACGCCAAGTTTTTTTTCTCTATCAGTTATTGAAACTTGCTTGACTAAAACGTGATTAATTTACAGCAGCACATGGATTGATTGATTAATTGTACTATTGTACCTCCTTGGCAAAAGGGTTAGTAGGAGCATTGTATCGGTTGCCCTGGCTGTTGATGGTGGGGTTAGCACTTCCACCAATAGCATACATCTCCCAGTGAGTGTAGTCATTGTTCACCACGTGGAAATATCCATGTCTACACCTGCATTATTCATCACCAACATTTTGTTAGATTAACTCATATTCCACCTCTGGTTTGAAGCACTTCATTGGAAGAAAGACAAGATAGCCCTATCCAGTTGTTGATTTCAGCAAATGGCTACGCCTCCTGGTCCCCTACAACTAATTCTTCTACAAAATTTGTGACTTTCCTTAAACCGAAAGAGAAAGGCAAAAAGCCTTAAAATCAAAATTAATGCCCAAAGAGGGTTGCTGCTACTGCAAACCAACCTATCTTATGGCGACATTTATTTGCATTTAAAGCACGCAGAGAAAAAGGGAAACAAAAGGGTTTTCAATACAAAAAGTGTCATTAAATATTACCGTGGCATTCTCTGGATAAGTCCCTCTCCGAAATGGTTGTATGCGATGGTCACCTGCATTTGCTTGTCTCTTGTGTAAGAGTCACTGTGGCCCAGCAGAATCACCTGAATTTGCAAACAGATAAAATAACAACTTGAGCCATCATGCAACAGAAGAAAAAGTGCAGTTTGACACAGAGGAAATGAAAATGCAGTGAAAGTACTACCTCATTGTGGTGGGTGAAGTGGTTGTTGGAAATTGTTATGGCTGTTGAGCCCATGACAGCATCCACAAGGCCATCAGCACAGTGGGACAATGAGTTGTGATCAACCCAAATGTGGCTTGAGCCAAATATGGAGATGGCATCTCCATCAGCCATTGTCCTCCACCCAAAGTGTGTGGGGGAGCTTCTCACCATGGCATTTCCAGTGGGTTTGCAGTCATGAATATGTAGGCCATGGATGATGACATTAGTAACATACTGGATTGTGATGCATGCTCCATTAGCAATGTGCACATTCACTCCTCTCCCATCAATGGTCTTGAAGCTGTTCATGATCAGCTCTTGCTTCAACTGAATAACCATGTCCCTCTTGAATACAATCCACAAAGGCCTGTCCTGAATCACAGCATGGCGCAAAGTGCCTGGTTTGGGGTTGACAGGGTCATCATCCCTGGGGTCTGTGACCACATAGAACTTCCCATCACGGCCACCAATGGCATTTCTGCCAAAACCAATGCCACAATCTGCAAGACGCTTCCTGTTGCGTTGCCAGTTGGGGTCACAACGCCAGCAATCATCAATGGGGTTACCAGTTCCACAAGAGAAAAACCCCAGATTCCTTCTCTCTGTGCTGTTCTGGATGCTCCTGAAATATTGACAACATTGTTTTCATAAAAGCCATCAGTGTCCAACAACAATCTCTGTTTGGTGTTATACAACCTCAATCAAACTACTCTAAGTCAGTTCTCAAATGACATCCAATTTCTATTGCTTCTAACATTAATAGTATAATACCATGCCAAGATGTGTTACAAATTGAACACATTTGGTTTTACAAATTGAACAACATTGTTTTCATAATGCCATCAATGTCAAAAAGTCTTTACTTGTTATACAAGCTCAATAAGTCAGTTCTCATATGATATCCAATTTTGTTTGCTTCCAATATTAATAGTTTAATTAATACCATGCCAAGATGTGTTACAATTTGAACACATTGGCTAGTAAAATGCTCTTGTTTTCGGTGTGGCTGGTATCTAAGTAGTAAGTACAGATAAAAGGTTCTAGCCTTTGTAGAGACTAGAGAGGTAACAAACAATTAGGCCTAAACTCAATAGGTAGAGTCAGCTACAAGGAATAAAATAAAGCCCTTAGACTCAACCCAAGATTAAACTTTTAATAAATCTTTTTGAGATTTGTAGAAACAGCAACAATGTCAAAATAATTTATCCATGTGGCGAGTGAAGACAAAAGGAATTTTCCTAATTTTAACGGCTACTTATTCTTGGCTTATTCTGCAATAGAAGATATGGTAAATATGCTTTTCTGTCATGACATGGATCTCGACCCAAATATTCTAGAGTGGCCACGTTGTAAGGAATCAACAACACATGGTAAATTTTTTGTACACAAAAACTCGATCACAATGAAGCACCGAAAAATTTGATCAAGCAGAGCCTAACTGATACGAACAACTGTTTTTAATGTTAAAATAAGGGAGCCAAAGAGTTGTACCCGTAAGTACTACACATTTATAGGGAAACATTAATTAATTTACTTATAGGCAAAGGATTAGATTTATAATGATAGGCAAAAGGGTAAAAATGAAACCTATTTGGTCGCAATTTTGAGAGTTTATCTTATCAAAATAAAAAATATTTTTTAATAATAGAACACTTAAAAGTATTTCTAAAATATCCAAACATGCTGAAGGTGATGTTTCTAACTTGCCATGCCACAAAAGGGTAAAAAGGGAAAAAAGGGTAAGTCGTCAAAAATTCAAATTGGTTCCAATATGGCAAAACAAGGAAAGTAATGTGACAGAAAAACAATGGGTGAGTTGGGATAAAGAGTTAGGTCTCAATTCTCAAAGGGATAGTTATTAGGGCCACCAGTGCAGGCACACCACTACCCTACCCCATTACACTAATAGTCCCTACTCCACGTGAATATATAAATAAATATAATAAAACATTATAGATCATTATTGGTGCATGTAATTTTCTCTTTTGCTTTAATAAATTTCTTAGATATGAATGGACATTATAACTAGGTTTGTATGGTGAAAAAGGAGAGAGATAGAGACCCACATCTCAACCATTGAAACCACCTCCTCTGGGTTTGCCACTGCAGCACGTTCATTTAACTTCTCAGCCTCTCGTGCCCTAAAACAAGCAGTTAAAACACAATCACAATCACAATCATGAAGAATAAATAAATAGTATTAAATAACCAAACTACATATTCAATACACACATTATTTCACTACATAGGCTTAGATATTGGTGTCATAAAACAACATTAAACTTTATATAATAAAGCATTTTTTTCTTATAATAACCAAATTTTCACTAATGCACTACCCGTACCAAGATGGCAACAATAAATAAACTACCCCTTTTTCTGAATATATCCAAAGAAAAATTACAAAAACATTATTTACATTTTGGTATTATTATATGTGAGGCACACTTAAAAGTCCTTTCTCTACTGTATTAAAAATTAAAAAAAAAAATCCAAAAAATAGTACTGAAATAAAAATAAAAATAAAAACAAATTGTTTAACCAAAAATATAAAAATAAACACGTTAACATGTATACTTGTCGGTGGGATTTTAGTTACTTTTAAAAATATATATATATTTAGGCCGTAAAAAAGTAAAAGAGACAAACGCAAAAACTGTTAAAACTTGAAAGATTTAACCTCTAAATTGGAATGACTAATATACCCCTCCACATAAGTTTTATTGGGAACACTTTTGGGGGCTAGTTTCGGAAGTGAAAAAAGTTTGTTGACGGTTAACTAACTCTTTAATGCTGTGTGTGGGGAATTATTTTGCTTTTGCAGAACACTCGACCAACCATTATGCAAAGAATGGAATCCGAAGAACGAACATAACCGAATAAACGATCCAGATCGAGAGAATCAACGATTTTTCAACGGCTGCGATCGTTAGTTGCGGTTACTCCATCCAACGGCCAGACTTAAATTAAAGCCAAAACGCACGGTCCTGATTAACCGGCGCTTCAAGGAGGAAGGTGAAGAATTAAAATTTTAACGTTGGAAAGGACACTCACCTCGCCACCATTGACGAGTTCTTCAAGCTCACCAACCCATGTCCTTCAACTTCAACATTCCTAAAACCACAAAACAAAAAACCCAGAAGAAAAAAAAGGGTCAAAAACAAGATCTTCCATTTCTGTTTTTGCTTCAGTTTGACTATGCACAGAAATCGATGATGAACAATGAAATCAGCACTGGTTACTGAACTCTGAACCTAAATTGCTCTCACCAAATAAGCCTGCCAGTTTCGGGATTTTTGAGCCTTATAAACTCTTGTCAGATATGATCTCTAACCAATGTGGGACTAAACTACATTGAAATGGTTTTCGAAAAGGTAGAATGCAGAAAACACCCACTAATTTTTTTTTCTTTTGCGTTTGAAAACCCAGACAATGCAGCTCAAAGAAACAAAGCCAACACAGAAACAGGGTGCTTATGTGTGTGAGAGGTGAGACCTGAGGTGAGAGATCTGTGGTGTGGCCATGGCTTCTTCTCGAATGAGCAGCGCGAGAAGCAAGAAGAGGACCCATTTCGCAGAAGAAGAACCCGCCATTGCAGAAAGTAAAATTCCTCTCTCAGTGTTTGTTTGTTGCTTTGATGGGAATGAGAATGTTAAAGAAAGAGAGAGAGAGAGAGAGAGAAGATTGGTGGAGTGGACTCAGAAGAACAGGTTCCAACATAACGGTTTTTTATAGACACCAAACCCATAAACGCCAACCCTTAACGCCGTTAAGTAACTGATCGTTTTTCTTGTTTTGGTCTTCGCCGTCCCTCTCACACCGTTAACTAACAAAGTACCACTCTAGTTGCTTTTGCCTTTTGCTTTAACCAATTAACCTCCCTCTCTCCTTCTTAACCCTACACTCACTTTTTTTACCCTCTCTCTCTCTCTCTCTCGCACGTGCCTGCAGTACCCGTCACGTGCCCTCGCATACTACTACAAATACTATACTATATACCAAGATCTAAAATCTCACACCACACTCCACTTTCTCTTTTTTACTTTTTACTTTTTTTTTCGCCACTTTATCCACCAGTCACTGCCCAACTAACTTCAAACGGTTTTTAATTTGTGTGTACAAAATCATTGTGACTTAATAATGCCATGTTCTTTGTCTTGCTTCTCATTGTGTAATTTAGACACGCCATTTGCAAAGCTTTCGATTTTTTTATGAAGTTAATTCACATTACATGTTGGTATCCAATTATAAATTGTTACGTATATATATAATTAAAAAAATATTCATTTTTAGGGTAATTTTCAATTGGTTAGTAGAGTAGAGAAGATTGGTTGCATCAAAATCAAATATTTTCTCTACAAAAAAATTGGACGTGATTCTTAGACATTTGTATATATACATGAATAAATAATCAAAAGAACGTTATCTCTAGTGGGGAAATACCTCACAATGACGTACATTAGTTAATGTTGTTTTTGGGATTTTGATGTGGTGTAATTGATGTTGTTTTTCTTATATCATTGAATGTCCGAGAAGGAATGTGATTTTTCTTACATCACAATTCAATTGATTATGCTTCGAGTTAGTATAGTTAATTAGAAGTTATGTAGTGAGAAACTAATAAGTAGTCAAGGATGATTATAATATAACATTGGAATTAAGATTTTATATTTAACTGACTTCAATATATTTTTTTAATTCATTTAAAATGAATAAATTTTAGTTTTGGCTTATTTTTTTCATTCTTTAAAATTTTAATTCACTGATTTGGATTATAATAAAATAATTAAGTAAATTTTTACTTTAATATTTAAAATATTTTAACTTTCATTTATCTAAAATTTAAATATTTTTATTTGAAATTATTACTTTTATTCTAATAATTATTTTAAGAAAAATAAATAATATTTCTTTTAAGAATCTATAACAATTTTTTTAAAAAATGTCATGCATATGCTAACATGATACTACAACACTAGTAAGTAGTACTTGAAATAGTGACATGACTTGAACATATAAGTAGTTAACAAATATCATATGATAGAATAGAAAAAAAAATTTTCATATTATAATAAATAAAATAGAAAAAAAAAATGTTATAAAGAGAAAAACAAAAATTCCTAATTCTATACAGACCCGAAACTATATTTAAATCTATTTTAATTAACATAAATAAGTAAACATGTTTAGGAATTTATTTAGAATGTTTTCTTTAAGATCAGAATTAATAATGATAGTTTCAAAATAGAGAAAAACCCAAAAATGAAAAGGGGAAATTCCCATGGTACAACATGTAACCAAGAAACTAGAGTTAAGAGGGTGGAGATATACATTTATATGGTATGATTGCATGAAAGTGTGGCATTGAAAGAAAAGGAGATGAAAGAAATAAAAACTTAGGTGAATATTATATTCCGTAGTAGGAATAGAATAAGTGAAGAGAATAATAAATTAGAGAGGTGGGTAGTGAAAGGGGACCACGTGAGGAGGCCGTACGAGTTTGGATAAACGGAAAACACAAATGTCACAGTTTACTGCTGATTTCACGCCATGCCACTGCACAAACAACGCGTAACAATAAAGACATTTCAAATTATAATATAATATCATCTCCCATGTGGATCAACCAAAATCAAATTATTCGGATTTTCAGTATATAATTGTTAAAAAATGACTTTGTCACGTCTTATTTCGTTTAAATGGAGTTATATTTCAACTTTAACAAGTTTTACCTTATTCAAATAGAGTTATATCGTTTTATGTTTTGTCATGGGGGTTATTAAATTAATTGAATCACAGACTAATAAGTAATATCGTTTATGGTAACGTGATTGTATATTGTTATGATTTGACTAGTTTTTATGCACATCAAGGGTTAACTATAGTATATTCACTACGAGTCATGAAAATGGTTATCTGCAAAGTTGAAATATCGGTATTTACTGTTTGTAAATTGGCATGTTGAATCTCTAATGTGTATTCAGCAATTATCTTAAATGTGTATATGAGATGAAGTATCTCTTATTCTCCAATTGTCTTTAATAATACGTTTTTATTTATAAAAAAGAAAATATAATATATTCACCACATTTTTGTTCTTGTAGTGTGAGTGCATAGTTATTTTTTTTCGTGTTAATAAACATGATCTACACAATATTTCAGATCAATAATTATTTTATACTTGTGAAACGTGATTTTTGATAAGGTTTATAATTACTAGACTAAGCGACTTGTTTATATAAATGCATATAATAGAATATATGTATGGTGTTTAAAAAATACTATATAATATGAAAAATAAAATAAGATAAATTAGTGAGGAAAAGGAAGAAAAAGAATATTGGTGATTTTATTTTTATAATTTATTTGATTGGCGAGATTGATTCCGCGGAAACGTACGTCCAAGATGCGCGCTAATCACGGGCAGTGACTTTCTTTTGAAGTTTAATGAGTTTGACGACTATTATTCCGTTGTATCCACCGGTGTGACACCTTTCAACTCTTACCAATAAAGTTACACTGTTTATTTATTTTTTTTTTTATGTTACCTATTCGACCAACACAACACATATCTCATATATATTTTTTTATATAATATTTATATATTCATTACTTGAAAAACTGAAAATGTGAAATTTCAGTTTAATTTCTTGATACATATATATACATTACCGTTTCTTTTGTATGATAAACTAATGAGATTGTTAAATTTATTATAGAATAGTTGAAGACTTCTTTTCTCCGGGGTAATAGGTCTACTACAAGGTCAAAGTTATAATGGTAACATATTCGAGTAGATGAAGTGGTTATGATTAAATAGTATTCAAACTACATGTATAAAAATATATATATATATTTAAACTTATAGTTGTGGGCCGGTTATAATTTTTTACATAAGTTTTTTTAAACATTTTTACAGAACTTTGTCAAACCAAAGTGATGTGCATGTGGTAAAAACTATGGAAACAATAGGGACCCTCAAAGAAACAGTGAAAATGAGTAATGTGTTATAATTTCATGTTAGATTTCATTCTTAAAGTCAATTAGTGTAAAATGAAATTTTCCGATAGGTATATAAACAATATATTGGCAACTAAAGTAGTCTGAAATTTTTTACTGTTTGTAGTATGCTAGAGATTGCATCATAATGTATACAAGGTAGAATATAATTTTGAGCCTTTAGATATTCTTATGTTAAAGCCACAGCCAGATAAAATGAGAATGATCATCCTATTAATTCCCATAAATAGAGACAAAAAAAAACAACTTTAATTTAGTTTTGCCACATATCTTTATAAATGTCCATGAGACGATCTAGGAAGAAATGATAATCTCTCCAATTAATTGACATAAAACTAATATTGATTCCTATTGAAAAGTTCACTTAATTTTATTTAATGTGAATTGGTTATGAATTCTAACACATAATATTATAACTTATATATAGTCTATTTCCAAGTATAACATTTTCAGATAAACATTTGTTAACACATCACCTAACTCGATTATTAAATACAAATTAAACATTTCCATCTAAAATTCCTAAGGAAAGAGTTATTGGAATTGGGTTGAAAACTTCGTTACTTAACTTTATAAATGAGATAATTTTCCAATTATACAAGCAACAATAGAAAGAAAAAAAAAATAAAAAGAATCGCTCTCGTTGTGTTTTTTCATAGTCACTACAAAGCAATTTGTTCTTCTTATTAAGACATACAAGGCCGGTTAAGTTTGACTTGTGAACTTGCACTTTTAGTTTTCTTTGGCAAAATGAAGAAATTTGACTTTAACTCAAGTCTTAGGTATTAGATTAGAGTACGTGTTTCAGTTTTTGATGTTTCGTTTTACTTATCTTTCATAACCATGCCCATGAGCCATATGGCAAAAACCACTTGTTGTGTATAAAGGCAGTGTGCTCCTCATCTGGAGGGTACATCGGAATTTGGTTATAACCTGAATAGGTGTCTAGGAAACTGAGCATGGCATACCCTGAGGCTCCATCAACCAATCTATCAATACTGGGGAGTGGATAAGCGTCTTTTGGACAGGCTTTATTCAAGTCAATGTAATCAACACACATACGCCATTTGCCATTGGATTTTTTAACCATTACCACATTGGCTAACCAAGTGGTGTATTTGATTTCTCTGATGAATCCGGCATTCAAAAGCTTTTGCATTTCGGCCTTGACAGCTTCTCTTCTCTCACCGCCAATCTTTCTTTACTTCTGAGATATAGGTCGTGCCTCTCTGTGGATAGCCAACCTGTGACAAATGAAATTGGGATCTATCCCCGACATATCTGCACTACTCCATGCAAAAAGATTAGCATTTTCAGTAAGTATTGACATGATTTTACCTTGGACATCAGGGTCAATATGCTTGCCAATCTTGGTGCATTGGTTTGGCTTTCTGCCAATCTGAAACTAAATTAACTCGTCAATAGGGTCAGGTCGGTGGTTATGCTTATCAACTCGGGGATCTAAGTCGGCCATTTCCCTTGTACCGATGTGAGTAATGACAGAAGAAGTTGACGCTTCAGGTTGAAGATTGGGGGGTGTAATCTTCAAACTTTCAGCATAACATTTCCTTGCAATCTGTTGATTAGCCTTGACAGCTATTATGTGCCCATTGGTGCCTGGGAATTTCATAGTTAAATGAGGCGTTGACACGATTGCTCCTAATTGATTTAAAGTTGGTCTT